ATCGACTACTCGAGGTACGGTAACCTGTTCACTGCCAAACAAGGATGCTTTAATTCTAAAATGTGAATTAAAGTAAATTCTCAGCGTATATACGCAGAGAGAAGTGCACCTTTCAAGATATATATCATGTGTTGAATGTAGCTTTCTTCTGTGCCTACGATTGTACTATATCTACATGATTTGCATATTTTAAAGAAATATGCATTATCGTTATCATTACTGTAGTTGTCTCACTGTCTTACTGATCTGGTGGGCAACAAAATCTTATCTTGCCAAAAATGCTTCGTTTAACAAGGGACTTTCCATAAAGTAGTTTATACACACCAATTACTCTCATGTCAATTGTATACAGTAATCCACTTTATCAAAATCAAGATGCTTATTTGTGAGATGACTGGTGTGGGTCGCATCTTTGAGACTACAAATAGTATATTGATCATTTTGTTATATTACACATTGTTATGCTACAAATTTGTACAATTATAATGCCTCTTAATTGAAATGTTCAAATTTCATTGTTTAAAATACTCATTTGTACTTCATGTTGTATTTTGTTTACTGTAATTTTTACCGCTGAATATACCATTGCTTAGTTAATCTTAAGTTAATTTTAAGCTGCCCATAATGCTCTGTATACAAGGGGCTTTTGGCATGTACACCCAACTGTAATTCCTTGTGCAACTATGTATCATATCCAAATAAAGTATTGTATTGTATTGTAAAGAACACAACAAAAATAAGAGACACTCCTTATCTTAACCTCGATGATTCAGCTGGATTACTCTGGATTACTAACCCTCTGGGTTAATTCAAAGGAAATCTTCAGTCATTTTGACTTTTTTGGGTTATTGTATGTAATTTACACTATGTATGATAATTGTACTTATGTGTACATGTGCCTAAATAAACTTACGTACTTACTTACTTATAAATAAAACAATTATCCCCCGGTCCTAGAAATCACAGAAAACTTTGGACACTCTAGTACCATAGAAAACTTTGGGACAACACAACTACCGTCAACTATTCCCTCGAGGGGAAACTTGTGTATAATATGATTCCCCTTGCCTCCTGGCAACCCGTTACCATGGCAACCTCTCACCTAACCTATGCCTTTCACCCTAATAAAATCTCATTCAGGTTCAATGATGCGGGTACCAGCGAATACCGTAACAATCAGTAACAATGACTAGAAAGGAAAATTTAACAAGGATCAAGAAGTATTTAAAAAAAAAAAAAAAAAAAAATCGGAACCTCAACACTACACGTTCCCGACAAATAAATGCTGATGGGTATAGTACTTCTTTCAGCATATATATGCTGAGAATTTACTTAAATCCCTATTTTAGAGATTAAAGTGTTCTTGTTTGGTGTTGAAAAATTTACCGTGCAGCTTTAATTAATGACCTTCGTGTAATCAATAGGCTTTAACATCATTAATTAACCAGACTCCCTAAACATTGTCCTTTAGACACAGGATAGTTCACAACAGACTAAATAGCCAATAGTTATTCAGATCAACGAAATGCTCTGCAAATTAACGAAATGCCCCAAATGCTCTGCATATTAAGGGGATTTCTGCATGCACACCTTAAATGTCATTCACTTCTATACATTGTATCATGCAGAAATAAAGTATCTTACCTTAGTACTGACGCTCCTGGCCAATCAACGATTAGTATTGACGCTTCTGGCCAATCAACGAGTAGTATTAGCACTCTTGGTCAATCTACGATTAGTATTGACACTCCTGGCCAATCACATGTAACGCAGAGACGAATCTAGTATAAACTAAGACACGACGATGTCATGTCTACCACTGGCGGAGTAAGTTACACTAGGTTATTTTAGGATGGGTTATGTTGGATTTCGTTTGGTTAGATTACATTTATTAGATTTGCACAACATAAAACAATATCCACGACACACCCAACTTAATATTGGACATGTTTTTAGGAATAAATCTTGGCCAAACTCACATAAGGACCGCATCTCCGTAATTACTGTATGAACCTGGTGGTTTAGCGCTCCGTTTTGATAATAATAATAATAATCCGTAATTATTTTATTTATTACCTTGATTATAAATTCACTATTGTTCAAAAGAGCAGGTCATATGTTTTCACCCACCATTATAGTAATGAAGATAGCAATGATTACCCCAATATATCTCTCCCGCCTGCGTTCCCGAACCTGTACTCCCTGGAACGCAGGCGGCAGAGATACATGATTATATACGCCTGGAAAATCCTAGAGGGACTAGTATCAAACTTGCACACGAAACTCACTCTCTACGAAAGCAAAAGACTTGGCAGACGATGCAACATCCCCCAATGAAAAGCAGGGGTGTCACTAGCACGTTAAGAGACAATACAGTAAGTGTCAGGGGCCCGAGACTGTTCAACTGCCTCCCAGCATACATAAGGGGGATTACCAATAGACCCCTGGTTGTCTTCAAGCAGGCAATGGACGAGCACCTAAAGTCAGTACCTGACCAGCCGGGCTGTGGCTCGTACGTTGGATTGCGTGTAGTCAGCAGTAACACCCTGGTTGATCAGGCCCTGATCCACCATGAGGCCTGGTCACAGACCGGGCCGCGGGGGCGTTGACCCCCGGAACTTTCTCCAGGTAATAAATACACAAACGTGGAGACCCAATAGATGTAAATAACTATAGACCAAGATCTAACTTGTCATTGTCAACCAAATTTTCGAAAAAATAATCCACAAGAAATTACATTCTATCATTACTCAGTACACTCAACCTCTGCCAGTTTAGTTTCAGGCCAAATAAAATCACAAATCACGCAGTTATAAAAATGCTAGACTTCCTTTATGACAGTTCTTGAAAACAATGAATATTCACTAGGCTTGATAAACTCCTGGTGAGCGAAACATCACCACAGTACAATGTCACATTAGCTGCATCTGTATCCTTTTACCTGACCTTAGGAAAACTTTCGATACAGCAGACCACAGCATCCTGCACCTCAGACTTGATCATCATGGTATCAGAGGTCATGCACTTGCATATATAGTCTTACCTTACCAACAGACATCAATATGTCTTTATCAAGGACACAATTTCTTCAACATGACTTGCCAACATAGGCGTCCCGCAGGGCAGTGTCCTCGGTCATCTTCTGCCTTAAATGCATCACTGATCTTCCAAAAGCGTCTCACCAACTTAGACATGTTCACTTTGCAGACGACACAACTTTTCTCATCTCCCGCCAATATCCGAATTCCCTCAACAACTTCATTGAAAAACTCTTAAAAATATCAACCTGCATGACTACCAATAAACTCATGCTTAATATTGACAAAGAGCTTCTACGTGATGTTTGGGAATAAAACTACAAATGTCTAACTAAGAGTTATGATTAACAATTCTCCTGTTGCTAAACAAAACGAAGGAAAATTCTTAGGTCTCAACCTAGTTCATTACCTTTGTAACTCATTCAGCTATCAAAATTTTTGGGCTTAGTCCCTGGACCCATTATGTACCTCTATAATCTTTTTGACTATCGCCCACAAGATGGGCATGAGGTGCATAATAAAGATCTTAAACTAACTGTATCTAGATAGCAACTTGAAATTCAACAACCACATTCAACACATTACAAAAAAAGTATCCAAATCAGTTGGCATCCTCTTCAAGATACGTTTCTAGTAAGTTTATTCAGGTATACACAAATACAGTTACATAGATTATCATACATAGCAGCATATGTGTAGAGAACCTGGGATAACCCCAAAAAAGTCAGACAGTGACTTCTTTCCTTTGGGGTCCTTTACTTATTTCCATTGGGCTTCTATGTATCTCAAACAGCAATACATACATTATACTACTCTTTAATCTACTCCTACCTCACCTATGTTATTTGTGCCTGGGGATCTACCACAGCAAATCACCTTAATACAATAATAACTCAACTAAACTGGTTGTATGAAAAAATTACTCTTTCTACTGCCAGAAAACACACTTCCTCACTCTTAAAAAGCCTAGACCTACTTAATATACATAAAATTCACCACTTCATTTTTTTTAACAAGTCGGCCGTCTCCCACCGAGGCAGGGTGACCCAAAAAAGAAAGAAAATCCCCCAAAAGAAAATACTTTCATCATCATTCAACACTTTCAACTCATACATAATCACTGTTTTTGCAGAGGTGCTCAGAATACAACAGTTTAGAAGCATATACGTATAAATTATTATTATTATTATTATTATTATTATTATTATTATTATTATAAAAAAGCGCTAAGCCACAAGGGCTATACAGCGCTGCATATACGTATAAAGATACACAACATGTCCCTCCAAACTGCCAATAACCCCTCAGTTAAAGTGCAGGCATTGTACTTCCCATTTCCAGGACTCAAATCCGGCTATATAAAATAACCGGTTTCCCTGAATCCTTTCACTAAATATTACCCTGCTCACACTCTAACAGCTCGCCATATACAGGACAATAAACTCTAATATCAATCCTGACATGAAACTCTTTTCTTGATATTTGCAACAGGTACAGGTACACATAAGTACAATTATTATACATAGTGTAAATTACTTAAGATAACCCCAAAAACCTAAATATAGATCAATAGTCGACTTATTTAATTTGGATACTACATATTCCAATATAATGATAATCTCATATTTATATAGTTATATATATTTATGTGAATACTATAATAAATCTATAAATTTTTTTAATATATAAATAAATCTACAATATATCTTATATACTAGTATATCATAATATATTTATAATTATCAAAATACCTTATATATAATACTATTTAATATATATGTATATATATATATATATATATATATATTATATATATATATATATATATATATATATATATATATATATAATAGTATAATATATATATATATATAATATATATAATATAGTATAATATACTATACTCCACTTTAAATAAATAAAGTTTAGTTGTTTAAATAAAGTTGATATTTGTTTGTTAGAGAGATAATGGTTGTGTGAGGAGCCGAGAGATGGCGCACCGGGATATCATCATCGTCTGCTAATTTTGTGTTCCAGGCTGCCTCAGGTAAGGTCCCACTCTCATATATAATGTTTCTGAGGTATCTTATCACGTTATATACGTAAGTGTAAGTAGAGTCATGTAAAGTTACTGTATTTCAGAAAATTGGCAGCTGCCAACTCTCACTAACAAACAAACAATAATCTTCGGTAAGTCACAAACTTTTATTTGAAACCATTTTCATTTATATCTTTTGATATATGTTGATTATTATAAATAATATATCATGAAAGTGTATAGTTGAAACATGAAGATTGCAAGACACTTTATTTATATTCAAAAATTTGAAATAAGTCATTTTTATCTATAAAAAATAGGTAAAAATGACCCTGATTGTTAATATTTATCTATATATATATATATATAATATTATATATATCTATATATATTTTATATAATATGTCGTGCCGAAATGTAAAACTGGCAATATAAGGCAAAACTCATTTAAATTAAGCTCTTTCTAAAAAAAATTCTTATACGTTTAAAGATATATTTTTTTCATTAATGTTAGTGTAAAAAAATTTAATTTTGCACCAAAAATCTTAGAAAACTTACCTAACCTTATTATAAATAAGAACATTTTATATTTGGGGGCCATAGCACCGAACATATTATATTTTTCAGGTGTTAGGAAGTCAATCTATATATATGTCTGAGGACATAACACTTAAAGTAAGTGAAAGATATTAATTATTATTCACCCAATTCATAAAAAAAATGATTGTAAGTCAAACTTATTAACTTTTCTTTTATTTTGATATATGATTTAAAAAATTATCAAATGTAAGTAAATAATCAAATTTTATTTAATTCAAAAATTGAAATAACTTTTATTAACAAAATCGAAAATGACTATGATGAATATATTATTATAAATAAATATATATATATATATATATAATATTATTAATTTCATTAATGTCAACAGGAAACATAACTCAAAAAATCATTAAAAGTAATACAAGTGAGTAACCTCACTTGAGAGGTGTCGTGACGCCGGTGAAGTGCTCGTAATCCAAGGAATTTGAGCTACCCTGCACTTCCTTGTATAAAACCTAATTACTTCTCCCCCTTTCCTCCAGGCTCTGTTTGACCCCTACAGATTTAGCACTTTTCCATAAATGTAAATTAATGCACATTTAAATTTCTAAGATGGAGAGATAATGTCTGTTTAGGTTCAACATAAATATTTTTACATGTTATGGTTTACAGAATGTCTTAGGCACATTATTTTAGGCACATATTGATAATAAAATATGATGGCTTAACCAGGCATAACCTAATAGTATAATTCAATAATTTTCATTGTGGGTCTGGCTAATAGCTGTTCTAGGCTCATTGATTTCAAGCTGCCACTCCTTTAACTGAATCAGACTTGATGATTGCCTCCTGTTCCCTGGTACTTCCATATGTCAGCAATATTTCTCGCCAAACCTCAATTCCAGCTAACAGGATTCCCTGAATCCATTAATATTATCATTCACATTGGAATAGTGCTTCAATTTACAGTGGCCACATACCTCCACATATTCTTATCTAACATGCTTACACATGACAACCAGTGAGGAGATGGGGCCAGGAGCTATGACTCGACCCCTGCAACCACAAATAGGTGAGTACGTTGCCTGGATGCTCAAGGCCCCATTCCCAGAGACGACCTTTGCCCATTCTTTTAAAAAATCTGAATCTTTCGTTACCTTTGCACTTTGTTTAGCTATCAAAACTTTGGGGGTCCATTCCCTGGACTCATTATGTACCTCTGTAATCCTTTGACTGCTGCCCACAGGATGGGTATGGGGTGCATAATAAAGATATTAAACTAACTAAAGTTTTATTTCTTTTTAAACATGTGTAGAACTTTCAGTGGATGGGTTTGCTGTTGATTTGATCACACTTTGAATATAATTATGAACGCACACATTTTTCTACTTTCAAGAGAAAGCCACTCGTTATTCGAAGCATTTCAGATAAATTACATATATAAGAATGAAGGAACACTGGGGGTAGACTTACTGGCCTGTGCTAGGAAAGTTCAGTTCACATCCACCCAAACCACTCATTTACTCTTCCAGCCTGTATTAGTTCCACTCATCTAATTCTAAATCTTGCAAACTGTTTCAGACAAATTACGTCTTTGCTTAGCTGTCTTATTTACTGCTTTCCACCTGCCAATTTTAAATACCCTCCAAATGAACCCATCTTGTTCCAGCCTTTCTGCATAACCAAGCCATCTCAATGTTCCCTCTTCAGTCCTTATTTTTTTCTATTTATATAATAATCACATCACACTTTGATTTCAGGCAAAACATTTCCAGTGCTGCCAGCCTCCTTGCTACAACATTAAAAAACTTGTGAACATGGCTTTTTCAACAAGGATTATTTTTGCCCCCCAAAAAAAGTTTTGCTTATAATGTACATATAATTAAATTTTGTAAAAAATAATGCTGTATAGTACACATGTATGACAAAAATAAATCAGATTGCCACCAAATTTCAGTATCATTGATGATAAACAATGAAAAGTAAAAATTGGGTCAGCCATGCAGTAATTACCATAAGTTAGGCCAAATTTAATTATATATACTGTGTAAGAACATGTAAATTTTTACCTAATTTAGGTTCACTTGTTAAATGTATTTTGCCGAGGGTCTTGGCAAGAGGCGTGGAGTTAAAAGATAAAGAATCACACATAAAGTGGGAGTTGTCACAGTTGCTCTTTGCTGATGACACTGTGCTCTTGGGAGATTCTGAAGAGAAGTTGCAGAGATTGGTGGATGAATTTGGTAGGGTGTGCAAAAGAAGAAAATTAAAAGTGAATACAGGAAAGAGTAAGGTTATGAGGATAACAAAAAGATTAGGTGATGAAAGATTGGATATCAGATTGGAGGGAGAGAGTATGGAGGAGGTGAATGTATTCAGATATTTGGGAGTGGACGTGTCAGCTGATGGGTCTATGAAAGATGAGGTGAATCATAGAATTGATGAGGGGAAAAGGGTGAGTGGTGCACTTAGGAGTCTGTGGAGACAAAGAACTTTGTCCTTGGAGGCAAAGAGGGGAATGTATGAGAGTATAGTTTTACCAACGCTCTTATATGGGTGTGAAGCATGGGTGATGAATGTTGCAGCGAGGAGAAGGCTGGAGGCAGTGGAGATGTCATGTCTGAGGGCAATGTGTGGTGTGAATATAATGCAGAGAATTCGTAGTTCGGAAGTTAGGAAGAGGTGCGGGATTACCAGAACTGTTGTCCAGAGGGCTGAGGAAGGGTTATTGAGGTGGTTCGGACATGTAGAGAGAATGGAGCGAAACAGAATGACTTCAAGAGTGTATCAGTCTGTAGTGGAAGGAAGGCCAGGTAGGGGTCGGCCTAGGAAAGGTTGGAGGGAGGGGGTAAAGGAGGTTTTGTGTGCGAGGGGCTTGGACTTCCAGCAGGCATGCGTGAGCGTGTTTGATAGGAGTGAATGGAGACAAATGGTTTTTAATACTTGACGTGCTGTTGGAGTGTGAGCAAAGTAACATTTATGAAGGGGTTCAGGGAAACCGGCAGGCCGGACTTGAGTCCTGGAGATGGGAAGTACAGTGCCTGCACTCTGAAGGTGTTAATGTTGCAGTTTAAAAACTGTAGTGTAAAGCACCCTTCTGGCAAGACAGTGATGGAGTGAATGATGGTGAAAGTTTTTCTTTTTCGGGCCACCTTGCCTTGGTGGAATCGGCCAGTGTGATAATAAAAATAAACTGTACAATATTCTGAGAAGAGTAATGTAAGTTACTTTCAACAGATACAATGTTGTAGCCACTGGAGTTAGGACCAGGGATGGATCACCTTATCTTCCTGGCTCAAGAAAGAGTGGAGTCTGTACAGGTAGAGATCTTGGTGTCTGTGTTCTCATGCCAGTAATTTGTTGTCAATACAGTAGGTAAAATTACTGATAAAGGCATTTTTAAAAACCATTGCACTAGATTTAAAAATTTATTCCAGACTTTTAATTGTTAGATTTGGATTGCATGAAATATCATGGTATTTCATTTTTTTTGTATAATTTTTCTGCCTTTGTTTATATAAAGTAAATGACATGGCAGAGTTCATTGTAAATTTAGTTTTTATGACTATCAGTCAAGGTTTTTTGCTCAAATGTATTTTTTAACAAACATTATAGTGCTACAATCATTATTTTTTTCTAAATTTGTTGAGGTACACCATGTACTGGTAAATGTATAGTAGTACATGTATGTACTGTATATTTCTTGATACCTTGATTGTGAGTTAGCAAGCAACGATGCATTGAATAATGCCATGCAGGAGGGCCCTGCCTTGCAGCACTTCACTTACAGCGTTTCACCAATATAGCAGTTTTCAATTATACTCATTCTTCATTTATCCAGGCTTCCTACAAATAATTTATTCACCATTCACTATAAGTTAGACAAAAATATTTTGAGATAAGTAATGTGTGTACTGTATATGCATTTTTTAGGCCTATCTCTGTTGCTCATTTAATATATGATGGTGTAAATATATCAAGCTTTTATTCTAACTCAAAAGTGAAAAAAAAAAAGAAAAAGCTGTTTCACTTTACAGCAATTTTTGTTTTACAGTATTAACCCGGAACCTAACCTGCTGTATAAGTGGGGCTCGCCTATATATGAATGTATGTTATTTCATGGGTTGGATGCACTGTATGCAGACAAAATTTTTGATTGGGCATCACTATACAGTATGCGGAAATAGCTTATTGGAGGGGATTTAATACAAATTTTCATTATGTATTACCTGGAGAGAGTTCCGGGGGTCATCGCCCCCGCGGCCCGGTCTGTGACCAGGCCTCCTGGTGGATCAGAGCCTGATCAACCAGGCTGTTGCTGCTGGCTGCATGCAAACCAACGTACGATCCACAGCCCGGCTGGTCAGGAACCGACTTTAGGTGCTTGTCCAGTGCCAGCTTGAAGACTGCCAGGGGTCTGTTGGTAATCCCCTTTATGTATGCTGGGAGGCAGTTGAACAGTCTTGGGCCCCTGACACTTATTGTATGGTCTCTTAACGTGCTAGTGACACCCCTGCTTTTCATTGGGGGGATGTTGCATCGTCTGCCAAGTCTTTTGCTTTCGTAGTGAGTGATATTCGTGTGCAAGTTCGGTACTAGTCCCTCTAGGATTTTCCAGGTGTATATAATCATGTATCTCTCCCGCCTGCGTTCCAGGGAATACAGGTTTAGGAACCTCAAGCGCTCCCAGTAATTGAGGTGTTTTATCTCCGTTATGCGCGCCGTGAAGGTTCTCTGTACATTTTCTAGGTCATATAATTTCATTTTTTTTATAACTGGGCCACTGTTAACCTTTTGTGATAATAAATAGTGTTACCAGCTTATATTTAATTTTAAATTTGTAATGTGAAGAATGACAATGTTTAAACTATTTGCTTACAGGTAACTTTGCACTCAGCTACAACTCGTTTTGCCAACAATCTTGTGTCTCTGGGAAATGGGGTCAAAGCATCCTTCAACAATGCACTCATTCTGTTAAGAATCAGAGGTTCAGTGGAGACGTAGCAGAGAAGGTTCGAGACTGGCTTGCTAAACTAAGGGAAGCATTAAGTGTGTTCTCTCCTTCTGAAGTGTATAACCGGTTTTTAATATTTTTCCTAACCGAAGGTGAGAAGAATATGCACATTATTTTTTATTAAAACATTTATTCTTAAGAATTAAGTTTTAGTATTCTATCATGAATATGAATTAGGTTTTTCCTTTTTTGTGTGTGAGAACTATATTTTTATTAATACGAGTACTTAATAAATAATGCATTTAAATTCATACTTCAGACAAATACTTTTATATTGCATTGCCCTTCAGGTTATATGAATGTTACATTTGCAAATAATCAGTATTTTATCAAGTTTTAACAAATTGTTTATAGGCACTTATCTAAGCCATGGGATTTTTCCAGTCACACGTACACACATATATTTTGGTGGAGCATGTTTTTTTGCTGGTAGTATCATTGGCATACTGGTGGGCATGAGGCTTCGCAGTAGTATGGTTGCTCCACAGCGAATGAGAGCTGTTGTGGCCATCAGTTACAGAGGAATGGAGGTAAGTTGACACTGTCAGTCCTGGTGATTGAGACACTTGTTCAGTACTTGGGTGTCATTGTTGTGGAAATGTTTCACCAACAAGTGGCTTCCTCAGTCTAATACAGAGATGAATGGTAGAAGATGAGAAGGAGTTTGAGGTAATCAGTCTCTCAGCCTTCAGCCGATGTATTCAGTCCATCAATCTTAATCAACCCAAGTGTTGCACAGATGTCTAAATCATCAACCTGTCAGTTCTCTGAACCATTTATCTACAATGTCAGTCCTGCTTGGAATACAGACTTTAGAAACATATGCAGTACTCCTGTTCTGCATATGTTTCTGAAGTCTATCATTTCTAAATGTTGTAGGGCAGCTCAGATACTGTAGTTTGTATTTTTTCTGCATATGACTATATTCATGTTGTAATTTAACTTATTATCATTTATCTTATTACCATGCTATCTTTCTCTAGAATATGACCCACAGCAGGATTTAACTCCTAGGTACAGTACTGCGCCTATTTACTGTTAGGTGAACATGGTTAAAAGCCTTGGAAATTTGCCCATTCATCTTGTCCTGCAGACTACTCTTGAGCTATAGGTTACCTTGTTATATGTTTTATAGTTTAGTATTGTTCATTCAGTAATCCATACATATGTTTCAGGCCATTGGAGTAGTGGAAGATGTGGTTGCTCCAAGAATTGTGGATCCACACCAAGTATTAATTCAAGTCAAAGCTGCTGGGATTGACTATCTGGATATTAAAGTGGCTGAAGGCTATGGTCGTGTATTGAGAAAACAACTTAATAAATATAATCCTGTAAGCTGAATATGATAGAGATTAAAAGAAATTCGCAGGTAGAATTTAAGAAATGTAATTATTTTCACTTCAGAGACGCATAATGTTCGCCTACCAAGGGGCGTGCAAATGAAGTTATGTCTCTCCTGATGGTGATTATTTGTTCTTTTTCTTGACTTCTGCCACCTTACTTAATGAAACTTCTATTCATTACCTCCATGTTATCTTGTTTTTAAATTCTTAGTATCATTATTGACTTTGCTTTTCTAATTTAAGATGCTACAGTATATTATTTTACAATTAAATTTTAGAATATGGATGGAGAGTTTCCAGTTGTTTTGGGACGAGATTGTTCTGGGGTGGTGGTGGCCGTGGGCAAGGCAGTCACACGAGTGGAGCAAGGAGAAGAGGTAGGCCTTAAGTTTTATCTGTAGTTGCTTTGAGGGGTGTTAATGTTGCAGTTTAAAAACTGTAGTGTAAAGCACCCTTCTGGCAAGACAGTGATGGAGTGAATGATGGTGAAAGTTTTTCTTTTTCGGGCCACCCTGCCTTGGTGGGAATCGGCCGGTGTGATAATAATAATAATAATAATTTAGGTTCAAGTTAAGAAGGATAAGGTGATTGTGATGTGAAATACATAGAATTTATAGGTCTTGTAAGCAAATTTAAACAAATACAGGCCTGGTCAAGGACTGCACAACTGGGGCATTGACTCTTGGAACAACTTCCAAATAGGTAGACACCAATAGTATATCTATTAACTACTAAAATACTATTTGTACAGTGTTAATATGTAAATTAAGACTTATAATTGCTGAAAGTTAAAAGGTGTGACATTGTGCAGGTATGGCTTGCAGTTCCATTTTATCATCCTGGGACTTTGAGTGAATATTTGGTAGTATCAGAGGAGCTGGTGGCTCTCAAGCCATCACAGTTAACATATGAGGGAGCTGCCGCACTGCCCTACAGCATCATGATTGCTTGGGATGCCCTTGTGACACAAGGAAAACTTGGACCCAATACTACTGAAGGGAAGAGGTCAGATACAAATTGTGTACAGTACTCTTATAATGGGATCTGCCCTCCCTTTCCATGGATTGAATGCCTTCAATTTCCTCAGACACTGTATGACCCCCTGTGAGTTTATTGCTCTCCCTTAAATGGAATACTAATGATGATGCTGTTGATATATGAAAATTATGTAAAATATTTAGAAATCTTGGAATTATTAGTAAAATATAAATGTACAGTTGACTTTCATATCATGCAGATTGTGGTTCTGAAAATTGGTTTTGTATGTGAGTTCATAATATGTGGAGTGAAGAAAGTGTGAAAACTAGGGTTACATTCTTGACACCTCCCAATTTTTTTTTAATTTCTTAAGGCATAAAAAGTTTTAATATACCTTACATTGTAGCCTTTATTGCTTATTTATCTAATACTAATGTATGGAGAAGGTTGATGTGGCCTCACGAGGCATAGTTCAATTTAGTGAGGTTTAAACAGTCAGCCATGCGTGTCGTATGAGGCGACTAAAATGCCGGGAGCAATGGGCTAGTAACCCCTTCTCCTGTATACAATTACTAAAAAAGAGAAGAAGAAAAACTTTATAAAACTGGGTTGCTTAAATGTGCGTGGATGTAGTGCGGATGACAAGAAACAGATGATTGCTGATGTTATGAATGAAAAGAAGTTGGATGTCCTGGCCCTAAGCGAAACAAAGCTGAAGGGGGTAGGAGAGTTTCAGTGGGGGGAAATAAATGGGATTAAATCTGGAGTATCTGAGAGAGTTAGAGCAAAGGAAGGGGTAGCAGTAATGTATAAATGATCAGTTATGGAAGGAGAAAAGAGAATATGAATGTGTAAATTCAAGAATTATGTGGATTAAAGTAAAAGTTGGATGCGAGAAGTGGTCATAATAAGCGTGTATGCACCTGGAGAAGAGAGGAATGCAGAGGAGAGAGAGAGATTTTGGGAGATGTTAAGTGAATGTATAGGAGCCTTTGAACCAAGTGAGAGAGTAATTGTGGTAGGGACTTGAATGCTAAAGTAGGAGAAACTTTTAGAGAGGGTGTGGTAGGTAAGTTTGGGGTGCCAGGTGTAAATGATAATGGGAGCCCTATTGATTGAACTTTGTATAGAAAGGGGTTTAGTTATAGGTAATACATATTTTAAGAAAAAGAGGATAAATAAGTATACACGATATGATGTAGGGCGAAATGACAGTAGTTTGTTGGATTATGTATTGGTAGATAAAAGACTGTTGAGTAGACTTCAGGATGTACATGTTTATAGAGGGGCCACAGATATATCAGATCACTTTCTAGTTGTAGCTACACTGAGAGTAAAAGGTAGATGGGATACAAGGAGAATAGAAGCATCAGGGAAGAGAGAGGTGAAGGTTTATAAACTAAAAGAGGAGGCAGTTAGGGTAAGATATAAACACTATTGGAGGATAGATGGGCTAATGAGAGCATAGGCAATGGGGTCGAAGAGGTATGGGGTAGGTTTAAAATGTAGTGTTAGAGTGTTCAGCAGAAGTTTGTGGTTACAGGAAAGTGGGTGCAGGAGGGAAGAGGAGCGATTGGTGGAATGATGATGTAAAGAGAGTAGTAAGGGAGAAAAAGTTAGCATATGAGAAGTTTTTTTTCAAAGTAGAAGTGATGCAAGGAGGGAAGAGTATATGGAGAAAAAGAGAGAGGTTAAGAGAGTGGTGAAGCAATGTAAAAGAGAGCAAATGAAGAGTGGGTGAGATGTTATCAACAAATTTTGTTGAAAATAGAAAAAGTTTTGGAGTGAGATTAACAAGTTAAGAAAGCCTAGAGAACAAATGGATTTGTCAGTTAAAAATAGGAGAGGAGAGTTATTAAATGGAGAGTTAGAGGTATTGGAAGATGGAAGGAATATTTTGAGGAATTGTTAAATGTTGATGAAGATAGGGAAGCTGTGATTTCGTGTATAGGGCAAGGAGGAATAACATCTTGTAGGAGTGAGGAAGAGCCAGTTGTGAGTGTGGGGGAAGTTCGTGAGGCAGTAGGTAAAATGAAAGGGGGTAAGGCAGCCGGGATTGATGGGATAAAGATAGAAATGTTAAAAGCAGGTGGGGATATAGTTTTGGAGTGGTTGGTGCAATTGTTTAATAAATGTATGGAAGAGGGTAAGGTACCTAGGGATGGCAGAGAGCATGCATAGTTCCTTTGTATAAAGGCAAAGGGGATAAAGAGAGTGCAAAAATTATAGGGGATAAGTCTGTTGAGTGTACCTGGATAAAGTGTATGGTAGAGTTATAATTGAAAGAATTAAGAGTAAGACGGAGAATAGGATAGCAGATGAACAAGGAGGCTTTAGGAAAGGTAGGGGGTGTGTGGACCAGGTGTTTACAGTGAAACATATAAGTGAACAGTATTTAGATAAGGCTAAAGAGGTCTTTGTGGCATTTATGGATTTTGGAAAAGGCGTATGACAGGGTGGATAGGGGGGCAATGTGGCAGATGTTGCAAGTGTATGTGTAGGAGGTAGGTTACTGAAAGCAGTGAAGAGTTTTTACGAGGATAGTGAGGCTCAAGTTAGAGTATGTAGGAAAGAGGGAAATTTTTTCCCAGTAAAAGTAGGCCTTAGACAAGGATGTGTGATGTCACCGTGGTTGTTTAATATATTTATAGATGGGGTTGTAAGAGAAGTAAATGCGAGGGTCTTGGCAAGAGGCGTGGAGTTAAAAGATAAAGAATCACACACAAAGTGGGAGTTGTCACAGCTGCTCTTTGCTGATGACACTGTGCTCTTGGGAGATTCTGAAGAGAAGTTGCAGAGATTGGTGGATGAATTTGGTAGGGTGTGCAAAAGAAGAAAATTAAAGGTGAATACAGGAAAGAGTAAGGTTATGAGGATAACAAAAAGATTAGGTGATGAAAGATTGAATATCAGATTGGAGGGAGAGAGTATGGAGGAGGTGAACGTATTCAGATATTTGGGAGTGGACGTGTCAGCGGATGGGTCTATGAAAGATGAGGTGAATCATAGAATTGATGAGGGAAAAAGAGTGAGTGGTGCACTTAGGAGTCTGTGGAGACAAAGAACTTTGTCCTTGGAGGCAAAGAGGGGAATGTATGAGAGTATAGTTTTACCAACGCTCTTATATGGGTGTGAAGCGTGGGTGATGATATGTTGCAGCGAGGAAAAGGCTGGAGCATTGAGATGTCATGTCTGAGGGCAATGTGTGGTGTGAATATAATGCAGAGAATTCGTAGTTTGGAAGTTAGGAGGAGGTGCGGGATTACCAAAACTGTTGTCCAGAGGGCTGAGGAAGGGTTTTGAGGGGGTTCGGACAATGTAGAGAGAATGGAGCGAAACAGAATGACTTCAAGAGTGTATCATCTGTAGTGGAAGGAAGGCGGGGTAGGGGTCGGCCAAGGAAGGGTTGGGGGGAAAGGGGGTAAAGGAGGTTTGTGTGCGAGGGGCTTGGACTTCCAGCAGGCATGCTTGAGCGTGTTTGATAGGAGTGAATGGAGACAAATGGTTTTTAATACTTGACGTGCTGTTGGAGTGTGAGCAAAGTAACATTTATGAAGGGATTCAGGGAAACCGGCAGGCCGGACTTGAGTCCTGGAGATGGGAAGTACAGTGCCTGCACTCTGAAGGAGGGGGGTGTTAATGTTGCAGTTTAAAAACTGTAGTGTAAAGCACCCTTCTGGCAAGACAGTGATGGAGTGAATGATGGTGAAAGTTTTTCTTTTTCGGGCCACCCTGCCTTGGTGGGAATCGGCCGGTGTGATAATAAAAAAAAAATAAAATAATAATAATTAAACAGTCAGAAAGTAAGGTACATGTTGTTAATAAAAATAGGTTATGTAAAATAATTTTTCGTAGCTTGTCTTGCTAGCATTAGACACCTGCTTGTTTGTAATTATCTCCAAAAATAATTTCCCTCGGTTGGCTGAAGGGTCAACTGATTAACTTTTCCTCGCCAAACTTTGTGGTATATGGCTGACTGTGCACTTTAAAATGGCTAAACGTCCAAAAGTAAACAAACATTCTTGTGCAGGCTTCCTGTCCTGCTTACACTGTTATATAGCATGATAGGACTTTCATCTTGATTGTAAGGGCATTAGGTAGGGTGTCTTTTTCTGCTCAGTCCATACATTCTCACTTATTTAGCTGTTTTGGTGTCTTTGATATTCTTTTCAGCATGTATCAGTCAAGATTACTCATTGCACAAATTTTTATCTTCACCGTATTATTCTGAATTGGACTTTTTTTTTTTTTTTTTTTTTTTCTTAACTAAGAAGCTGAAATTTGTTCTCAATGAACATCATGTTCTTTTCTATAGCCCACTGGAAGGCCTGATTTTCCAGTTATTCTTTTTGCATGCAGTTTGTGTGTCGGCATTTTACTAATCTGTTGTGTCCTTAACCATTTTGTAGTGGTTTAGCAGGTGCAAGGGGTAGGTGCATCGTACTTCAAACCCATGTTGTCTGTTGGCTATGAATGTTTCAATTCCAAATGTGCTATTGGTATATTGTTTTTGTAATTTGCTTTACTTCTGCCTTTAGGAGTTGTGCTATATTAGCTGCTATTAGAGCTCATGAGATGATGCATTTTTTATGATTATGGTGTGCCAGGAATACACTTAGGTTTGTATGTTTATTTTGTATATACAGCACGTGTGTACGTGTATTGTTTAGGAAAGGCTTTTCTTTTCTTGCAGAGTTTTGATTCACGCAGGTGCTTCAGGTGTTGGAGTAGTGGCCATACAGCTGGTGCGGGCCTGGGGAGGGAATGTTACCACTACAGTGTCTTCACGAGCCGCACCTCTGGCACACCTGCTAGGTGCTGAGGACGTCATCACCTATGATAGCTCAAATTTCGATAAGGAGCTCTTGCTGAGAGAGAAGTACAATTTTTGTTTTTTTGTTTCACTTTACAAAGTTTTCTATATTTATTTTTTTTTTTTTTCAACAAGTCGGTCGTCTCCCACCGAGGCAGGGTGACCCAAAAAAGAAAGAAAATCCCCAAAAAGAAAATACTTAAATCATCATTCAACACTTTCACCACACTCACACATTATCACTGCTTTTGCAGAGGTGCTCAGAATACAACAGTTTAGAAGCATATACGTATAAAGATACACAACATATCCGTCCAAACTGCCAATATCCCAAACCCCTCCTTTAAAGTGCAGGCATTGTACTTCCCATTTCCAGGACTCAAGTCCGACTATATGAAAATAACCGGTTTCCCTGAATCCCTTCACTAAGTATTACCCTGCTCACACTCCAACAGATCGTCAGGTCCCAAGTATCATTCGTCTCCATTCATGCCTATCTAACACGCTCATGCACGCTTGCTGGAAGTCCAAGCCCCTCACCACAAAAACCTCCTTTACCCCTCTTTCCAACCCTTTCAAGGACGACCCTACCCCTCTTTCCTTCCCCTATAGATTTATATGCTTTCCATGTCATTCTACTTTGATCCATTCTCTCTAAATGACCAAACCACCTCAACAACCCCTCTTCTGCCCTCTGACTAATGCTCTTATTAACTCCACACCTTTTCCTAATTTCCACTCTCCGAATTTCTGCATAATATTTACACCACACATTGCCCTTAGACAGGACATCTCCACTGCCTCCAATCGTCTCCTCGCTGCTGCATTTACCACCCAAGCTTCACATCCATATAAGAGTGTTGGTACTACTATACTTTCATACATTCCCTTCTTTGCCTCCATTGATAACATTTTTTGACTCCCCATATACCTCAACGCACCACTCACCTTTTTTCCCTCATCAATTCTATGACTAACCTCATCCTTCATAAATCCATCCGCCGACACGTCAACTCCCAAGTATCTGAAAACATTCACTTCTTCCATACTCCTCCTCCCCAATTTGATATCCAATTTTTCTTTATCTAAATCATTTGATACCCTCATCACCTTACTCTTTTCTATGTTCACTTTCAACTTTCTACCTTTACACACATTCTTAAACTCATCCACTAACCTTTGCAATTTTTCTTTAGAATCTCCCATAAGCACAGTATCATCAGCAAAAAGTAACTGAGTCAATTCCCATTTTGAATTTGATTCCCCATAATTTAATCCCACCCCTCTCCCGAACACCCTAGCATTTACTTCTTTTACAACCCCATCTATAAATATATTAAACAACCATGGTGACATTACACATCCCTGTCTAAGACCTACTTTTCCCGGGAAGTATTCTCCCTCTCTTCTACACACCCTAACCTGAGCCTCACTATCCTCATAAAAGCTCTTTACAGCATTTAGTAACTTACCACCTATTCCATATACTTGCAACATCTGCCACATTGCTCCTCTATCCACTCTATCATATGCCTTTTCTAAATCCATAAATGCAATAAAAACTTCCCTACCTTTATCTAAATACTGTTCACATATATGCTTCAAGTAAACACTTGATCTACACATCCCCTACCCACTCTGAAACCTCCTTGCTCATCCGCAATCCTACATTCTGTCTTGCCTCTAATTCTTTCAATTATAACCCTACCGTATACTTTTCCTGGTATACTCAGTAAACTTATTCCTCTATAATTTTTACAATCTCTTTTGTCCCCTTTCCCTTTATATAAAGGGACTATACATGCTCTCCGCCAATCCCTAGGTACCTTCCCCTCTTTCATACATTTCATAACATTTCTGTCATGATCCCATCAGTTCCAGCTGCTTTACCCCCTTTCATTCTACGTAATGCCTCACGTACCTCCACCACACTCGCATTCTGCTCTTCTTCACTCCTAAAAGATGGTATACCTCCCTGGCCAGTGCATGAAATTACCGCCTCCCTTTCTTGCTCAACATTTAAAAGTTCCTCAAAATATTCTCGCCATCTACCTAATACCGGTGGCCTGGTGGTTAACGCTCTCGCTTCACACGGTGAGGGCCTGGGTTCGATTCCCAGCCAGAGTAGAAACATTGGACGTGTTTCTTTCCACCTGTTGTCTATGTTCCCCATCAGTAAAATGGGTACCTGGGTGTTAGTCGACTGGTGTGGGTCGCATCCTGGGACACTGACCTAAGGAGGCCTGGTCACAGACCGGGCCGCGGGGGCGTTGACCCTCGGAACTCTCTCCAGATAAACTCCAGAATACCTCCCTCTCCCCATCTACTAACTCCCCTACTCTGTTTTTAACTGACAAATCCATACTTTCCCTAGGCTTTCTTAACTTGTTTAACTCACTCCAAATTTTTTTCTTATTTTCATTAAAATTTCTTGACAGTGCCTCTCCCACTCTTTCATCTGCTCTCCTTTTGCACTCTCTTCACCTTTCTTTTACTTTCCATATACTCTGCTCTTCTTATAACACTTCTGCTTTGTAAAAACCTCACATAAGCTACCTTTTTCTCTTTTATCACACCCTTTACTTCATCATTCCACCAATCACTCCTCTTTCCTCCTGTCCCCACCCTCCTATAACCACAAACTTCTGCCCCACATTCTAATACTGCATTTTGTTTATTAATTGCTTGGTACAGTAGTACAGTTGAACCCCCGTCTCCCCTAAATCAGTATCTGCAGTTTCAGCTATCCACAGTTTACTGTGGCCCAAAAATACCTATTTAATTTTGCATAATAAGGGCCCCAGAGCTCAAAAGTAGAGAAGGTGGCACTTCTTCAAAGCCTAAGAGAAGCCACAAAGTGCTTCCAATCGGTGAAAGAGGGATAATTCTCCACTAATTGTGCATAATTTATCAATTAAACTTTAGAATAGATATGTATAAGACTTAATATGTAGGGTTTGCTATTATCTATGGTTTCAGTATCCACAGCAGGTCTGTGGAATGTATCCTCCACAGATACAGGGGTCCTACTCTATAGCTTGTGGTTGCATGGTAGAGAGTAAAGAGTAAGGCGAGTTACACTTGCATACAAAGACAGTAAAAAGATATTATGGGATTGTGGAATGTATTCAGCAGAGGTAACATTTTAAGGAGTGTGAAAATATGTGGAGTTTAACCCTTTGACTGTTTTGGTCATATATATACGTCTTACGAGCCAGTGTTTCGGACGTATATACATGTATAGTCAATAATTCTAGCGGCTTCAAATCAAGCAGGAGAAAGCTGGTAGGCCCACATGTGAGAGAATGGGTTTGTGTGGTCAGTGTACACCACATAAAATAAATCCTGCAGCATGCAGTGCATAATGAGAAAAAAAACTGACCGTTTTTTTTTTTTTTTTTTTTTATTAAAATGCCGACTTTGAGGTGTATTTTCATATAGCATTTATCATTGTATTCTCATTTTAATGGTTTTATGTGATAAAATGGAAAATATATTACAGAAATAGAGATGATTTTGATTAGTTTCACGATGAAAATGACCTTGAAATTGAGCTCAAAGTACCGGAAATGTTCAATTTTTACCAATGTTCAAGAGTAAGCAAATCACACCACACATCCAATACAAGTCAACTGGGGAGTCTAATATTCTTTCACTATTGCACTGATATTATTTATACCATTTTTGCAATAATGCAGTAGTCTGCATAACAGTAAATTTTGTATTTTTTGTATGAATAAAAAATGAAAATAGAAAGCAGTAGCAATATAAGAGGGGCCTAGAGACGTGACTAATGAACAGAGGATATGTTATTTTAGTGCCAAGAATGTCAACATTATTTATTCTGGACCCTATTTTGAAATTGGCATCTTTCTTAATTTGCATGAAATTGGCCAAATTGCCAATATCTGACCACTTTATTGGGCAGTTCAAATCGGTAAATGGGCGGTTTCTTGTACTCAATTGATAGAAAAAATGGAGTTCTAAAGAAATAGCCATGAGTTTGGTCAACTGGAACAATGAAATTGGCCAAAAATAGGGCCCAAAGTCGGTGAAATCACCAATGCGTATATGTCACCGAGGGCGCTAACTTCGCAGGACCGTAATTCCGTGAGTTTTCGACCAAATTTCGTACTTTTGGTGTCATTACCATCAGGAAAAGATTCTCAGTCATTTCATAAGATTTTTTTTTTTTTTTTTTTTTTTTTTCCAAAATTTTTTTCGACATAAATGACAGTTTCAGAAAGGGGCTTGCGACATTCAAAGGGTTAAGCTTCATTTAACATTGATAGCAAACTGTGATGGAACTATGATCATTGTGTGGGTTTACTGTACTTTATTACTGTAATGAAGAAGACTTTCTTTTCTCCTTTTATGTATGCTGAGAGGTAATAAAATTCATGGAATTTATAAATTAATCATTATAACCAGTCTTGATATAATACATGATGGGTAAGGTTTTGAGAAGTTGTTGCTTGCTAATACATCTGTTTGCAGTGAAATAACTTAAGGTTTCAGGAAGCTTATTGCAGTGCATATTAGTTCCTCTTTGTTGTTTTGGTCTGTGTGGTAAATGTTGCATATAGTTGTTGTATTGCAGTTTATTAAAGTTTGCATATTAGTGTTCCAAGTTGATACATGATTATAGACAGTAAGTGGGGGGGGGGGATGGCATAGTTTTGCCTGACCCAGAAGCCTTCGAGGGGTTACCTTGATGTGGTGAAGGTCTGTTGGTCCAGGAAATTGTAGCTAACTTACTTTTTCTTGGACCATGCCTGATTACTTCTGATTCCCCAAGCATTGTGTGACCCCATGGGTTTAGTACATCCTGTGAATTTAATGATGATTCTCACCCAAAAAGCAATTCTCTCATTTTCATTTGTCCTCAGGTATGATGTTATACTCAATACAGTGGGCCAGGTACTACATGAATCCTGTTTAAAACATTGTCTTCCTGGTGGAGTTGTCGTCACAACTACCTCCTCTCAGTTGGCTTCAGACTCCTATGGTTATGTAATTGGAGGCCTCTATTCTTTATATATGAGAGCAAGATATTGGCTCACAAAGGTACTGTAAAATTCTCATTTGTCATTTATAGGGCACAATAATAATATAATCAGATTTAAGTGCTAAACCCAAAAGGGTCATACAGCACTGCAAGGAAGGATGTGTTAAAAGAGGAATGTGTGGAGGTTAGGGGAAAATGAGGGGCAGGAGTGTACAAGGGTAAAGGTTAGAGGGGGTAGGCAAGAATGTAAGAGCTAAATTAAAATCAGAGTTGGTGCAGTAAGTTAGTTTATGTTAAAAAATCAGAGGAGAAAGAGTGCATCAAAGGTGGAACTTCGTAGGGAACAGCATCATGGTTATTTTACTGGTTTGGTATTCTGATGGCTTAAAGTTTGAATGTACAGCAGTCTCTCTCTATTCCCTGAGAATCTGCTATACAGTCTTGGAAACTGGTCTTTTAACTGAATGGTGTGAAGGAATTCAAAAAGGGTTACTGCACTGATGTCTGTGAATGCACATAAAACTGCAACATATTCTTAATACTTGAGAGTAAAAGCCCATGCAGATTTGAAGTTGTTAGACTGTTTATGTATGATAAGAACCATACAGTATTGAAAAACTCTAGGATTTCAGTAAATACTGAAATGGTAAGACATTAGCATTTATGGAAATCTAAAGTTTAAGGAGATGCTTACCAGGAATGTGGGTTTAGAACTTTATAAAAGTATGGAAATGAAGAATTAGCTTACAAGCTTTTGTTCTTTTTTTAAGGTAAAGACTTGGTATATATGTAGTGAGACTTAGTTTAGGTATTCTTTAGTTATTGTGGTTAAAAAATACTGCAGAAGAACTATACATTTAGCTTCTAATGAAGAACATCTTGTAACACTAAAGTTTTAAACATCTTTAATTAGTATATATTAACCAATTAGCACTGTTAGTACAGATGCATTAGTAAAATATTTAACTGATACTTGAATATTCTGCTGTCAAGTGTAGTGATGGGTGTTTATCAGTGAAGCTTATGAGTTTTTGTGGCTGTTGGATCTTTGTTTTGTAGATATATTTATGAATGTAATGAAGAATTGCTAGCATTTTTGTAGTTAGATAGCTTATTGTAGAAAAATAGTGCAGTTACAAGGATTAAGACTGAAGATGTAAAAAGGCTATGTAAAGTGAAATAAGAGGTATTCATGGTTTAACATATTTTTATATCTAATTGGTGAAGATACTTCTTAAGTGCAGTAGGACCCCGGAGCTCTCTAGGAGTTAATAACAGTAATTTCTTGGATTTTACTGGCATGGACAAAGAGCAGGCTGCACTGTTTTTATGTTCCAACATAAAAATAGTACAGCTAGTGAACATTAAGCATTTTCTTAAATAATTCAAAGACTTGAGTCCTGGAAATGGGAAGTACAATGCCTGCACTTTAAAGGAGGGGTTTGGGATATTGGCAGTTTGGAGGGATATGTTGTGTATCTTTATATGTTTATGCTTCTAGACTGTTGTATTCTGAGCACCTCTGCAAAAACAGTGATAATGTGCGAGTGTGGTGAAAGTGTTGAATGATGATGAAAGTATTTTCTTTTTGGGGATTTTCTTTCTTTTTTGGGTCACCCTGCCTCGGTGGGAGACGGCCGACTTGTTGAAAAAAAAAAAAAAAAAAAAAACATGCAATACTCTTGAAATTTTCCCAAGAGGAATAAGGGCAAACAACTGTGATATAATATACGTATTTGGGGAAGTGGAACAGAATTCTTTCTCCGTAAGCCATGCGTGTTGTAAGAGGCAACTAAAATGCTGGGAGCAAAGGGGGCTAGTAACCCCTTTCCCTGTATATATTACTAAATGTAAAAGGAGAAACTTCCGTTTTTCCTTTTGGGCTACCCCGCCTCGGTGGGATACGGCTGGTGTGTTGAAAGAAAGGAAAGATTTGCCAAAGAATTTTACATTTTGTACTCGGGTCTAAATCAGTTCTCACTTTATTCCACTACAAATAAAATGTTAAATAATAATTACAGTATACAGATAGGCCTCTCTTTATTGCACTTCACTTTACAGCAATTTACTGATGCATCAGTTTTCAATTATACTCAATTCTTCATTAATTCATCACTCAGGATGAAAATCACTTAGGATGAAAATATTTTAATGTAAGTAATGTGTGTACTGTATATGTATTTTTAGGCCTAGCTCTGTTGTTCATTTAATAAAATTTTTATCAGGCTTTTATATGCATTTGAATGTTTTAAAAAAGGCTGTTTCACTTTATAATGATTTTTGCCTTACATCAGTACCCCAGAACTTAACCAGCTGTATAAGCAGGACTCTCCTGTATGCTCAAAGAAAGTAAAATTAGAAAATTGATTAGAGATAGTTTAAAATTCAATAGTAGGCCTGGTTGACCAGGATAGCACCAGACGATCCTGGCCCATGGCCAGGCTCCAAGAGTAGTAAGACTCGAAATTCATCAAAGGTACATCAGAGGTAGGCAAAAGTTAATTAAATTTTGAATAACATTATAGAGCTACAACATATGTGGGACAGACTTGTGAGTGGAATGATAGTATGACTTGACGTAACAAAGCTGCATGTTTAATTTTTCCCACTTATAGTCTGTTGTACTAATAATTAACCTGTAATGTTTTTCTTGGCTTGTTTAGTCACCATGGTTGACTGGTGGTAGATGGGGGACTGTGGTGGTGAGCGGCAGTGTGTTGGAGAAGGTTTCTCCACTTATAGAATCAGGGCGTCTTCAGGCAGTTGTTGACAAAGCGTACTCTGCTCAGGATGCTGAGGTGGCCTTTTCACATGTAGCTAAAGGTGAACAGATTGGGAAAACTGTAGTCCGATTTAGGTAAGTGCCAAAGAGAGTGAGAATTTGTTTTATTGTATTCTTTTATAGTGTGAAGTAACCATCTGATAGTATCTATAATAGAATTCATACTAATTAGTATTTTTTGCCATTTATATTCATTTAGGTTGCTTATAATTTTTTATAGATATAGTAGGTACAATATCTTTACATATTTTCCAGTACTGATATTTTTATCTCTTGTAAACATATCAGGAATAGTGAGTGGTGTATGATAGTATAAAAAGATACAAAGTGGAGAGGCAGACCTAGAAAATGCTGGATAGACGTAATATAACAGGATGCTACATAGAAAGGCAGATCTTAAAAAGGTGGATAGATGTAATGTGACAGGATACAAGGTGGAGGCCTAGGCAGAGCTTGAAAATGATGGATACAAGTAGTGAATCATTTATGCGAATGCTTTTTCAAGAGCTAATGCCGAAAGATTTATTGTAGGTCGTCTGTAGAAGCATGTTGTGAGCTGGGGTGCAAGAGATTGTTTGCTAGGGTGTATGGGACTGGTGTCCTCAGATTCACCTTTCACATGTGTGTAATGTACACGGGCAACATTGATAGTGCTTTAACCCTTTGGGGGTTTTGGCCATTCTAGTATGGCTTACACCCTAGGGTTTTTGACGTACTAGTACGCCTAGATTCTGGCGCCCTCAAATCTAGTGAGAGAAAGCTGGTAGGCCTACATATGAAAGAATGGGTCTATGTTGTCAGTGTGCGCAGTATAAAAAAATCTTGCAGCACACAGTGCGTAATGAGGAAAAAAAAAAAACTTTGACCGTGTTTTTGGATTAAAACAGTGACTTTGCACTGTATTTTCGTATGGTATTTGTTGTTGTATTCTAGTTTTCTTGGTCTTATTGTATAGAATGGAAGATATATTACAGAAATTGAGATGATTTTGACTGGTTTTACAATGAAAAGTACCTTGAAATTGAGCTCAAAGTAGCAGAAATGTTTGATTTTTACCAAAGTTCAAAAGTAAACAAATCATGCCAAGCATCCAATATACGTCAACTGGTGAGTCTAATATTCTTTCACAAGTGCGCTGATATTATTTATACCATTTCTACACTAATGCAGTAAAAATCGAACATTCTGCTACTTTGCGCTCAATTTCAAGGTACTTTTCATTGTAAAACCAGTCAAAATCACCTCAATTTCTGTAATATGTCTTCCATTCTATAAAATGAGACCAAGAAAACTAGAATACAACAATAAATATCATACGAAAATACAGTGCAAACTCGCTGTTTTATTCCAAAAACACGGTCAAAGTTTTTTTTCTCTCATTACGCACTGGGTGCTGCAGGATTTTTTTATACTGCGCACACTGACCACATAGACCCATTCTTTCATATGTAGGCCTACCAGCTTTCTCTCGTTAGATTTGAGGGCACTAGAATTTAGGCGTATTAGTACATCAAAAACTCTGGGTCGTAAGCCGTACTAGTACGGCCGAAACCCTCAAAGGGCTAATCTTACTTTTATTGAGAAATCCTTATGGAGTCTAAATGCAATGAATTCATCATCATAAGACAATGGACATTAGTATTCACAGTATTGCTGTCCTGTATGATACCAGTATCTGTATATCAGGGCAGTGGAAAAGAAGTTTCTGGTCAGCTGTCCATCAAGCCTATCAAAATGGATTGCAGTTGGGCAGTTTTTGAGTATTTGTCTTTCAAATACAGTGGAATCTCCACTTGCGAGCTTCCACATCGAGGTTTTTTAAATTCGAGCAGTCGCTCTGTCAATTTTTTTGCTTCTATATGCGAGCGAAATTTCCATAAGTGAGCTGCCCTCAAGGAAGGTTCCTTGATGCTGGTGAGGGGCTCTTGCTCTTGATCTAGGGAATTGGATCTCATTTGTTAGACTATCTTATTGAAACTTGGGCAATGTATGATAAAAAGGTGCTTCTTAACGTACACCAAAAATGAAAGTAATCAGATCATAAGTAATGGAGCTCACTTCTCAGCCATTACCCTCCCCTTAGCAGTATTTTCGTATGTTTTTTATGGTTGTATTCTTTTTTTTTTTTTTTTGTCTCATTTGATAGAATGGAATATATATTAGAGAAATAGATATGATTTTAATTGGTTTCATGATGAAAAGTACCTAGAAATTGAGCTCAAAGTAGCAGAAATGTTCGATTCTTTGGTGATGTTCAAAAGTAAACAAATGACGTCACTGTCCATTCCATTATGCAATCATGAATGGGTTGACATTATTTATACAATTTATTACAATAATGCAGTAATCTGCATAACAGTAAATCTTCTATTTTTTGTGTGAATAAAAATTACAAATTATTTATATTGTAACTAATAATAATAATACATATAATAATAATAGTATAATAATATAATAATAATAATATAATACATATAATAATAATACATGTAAAGTGGGCCCGCCAATTTCGTGATTAATCCGTTCCTGAAGAGTCCCGCCGACCTGGGGAAAATCACAGATTGGCGAATTCTATTTTTCCCCATAAGTAAATAATGGAAACCAATTAATCCTTTTCAGACAGCCAAAGTATTAACAAAAAATAATTTTTTTGAAAGATTAAATATAGATTTACATACAGAAAACAATGACAAATAAATAATAAGCACTAACACAATGGATACATAACATTTAACATCGCACTTTAACCTTTATTGATTCTTGTTGGTGTAGGAGGTAGGTCATAGTCAAGATTAAGCGAGTTTATTATGCTTAATAAATATGATGCTAATATCAGGCTCTAACGGCTTATTTATCTATCGACAATTCCATTCTAATATGACATTATAAACAATATAAATAACAAAAAAAATGTCAATGTATAGAAGAGTAAATGGTTTAGAGTGTTGTTGTTGATTTAAGGAGGAGGGGGCGCCACCGAGATAAGTCGTGTTGGTGGGTGTGGAGGCTTGGCCACCACACCACCATTCACGACATCAACAATGTATGTAATTTATAAATAAGAAAGATTACATTTTAATTTATAAATATATGAAATATATACATTTTAATTTATAAACAAGAAATATTTACATTTTAATTTATAAACGAGTTTATTCAGGTATACACAAATACAGTTACAACATAGAAATTATCATACATAGCAGCATATGTGTAAAGTTCCTCCCAGGATAACCCTAAAAAATTCAAGAGTGATATATTTTCATTGGTGTCCTTTTATATTTCCTTTTATACTTATACTTTTATATTTACACTTACCTTGGAGGAGATGTTAGTTTAATTAGTTAGTTTGATGAAGGAGATGTTGGCAGAGGTTTAGGGTGGTGGAAGATACTGGGCGGTGTATGTTCATCGGTCCTATACACATCCAACGACATTGAGAGTTACTCCATGTTGTTTTTTTCTATCGCTTTACTCGCTTTAACTTACTTGTTACACTGTTAATTCTACACTTTATCACTGGTTAGAGCTATAGCCTTTATCGATACCTGCTGCTTTAGTATCATACATATTGTCGAATCACGGAATCACAGCAGAAGACACATTTCTCCCCTCTCTCTCTTCTTCCTCCTCTACTTTAGTACTTTGCTACGAGTTTTTCTTGAGTCTTTGTTTGTTTTCTCGCCTTCTTTTTACCAAGGGCTGCACTAGGAGCTATCTTTGGTCCATGGTGGCTTATTTTAGCAGTTGCAGCACAAAAAACAATGAATTATTATGAAATGTGTTGTATGAACCCGTGGGGTGATGGTCACATGCTGGTAAACAATAGCACACTAAGTGTGAATAGTGTGGGAGACTGGCTTTGTGTGCGTGCTGACGGGAAGACGCGTACCAGAAGGTCACCGAATCACAAGTCCAATCACGAACCACGAAGCTAAATTTTGCCAAAAAAAACTGCCGAAAGTCGGATTTCACGAAAGTCACGGCCGCCGAATGGCGGGGGTCTGCTGTATAATAATGTACTATGTAATAATAATTATAATAATAGATGGCTTCAAAAGGCCATCATTAGATAGCAGTGATTACCACAACAATGCGGAAGCGGTTGTGGCCGCCACCACCTAGCCAATATTGACATATTTTTATATGCATGCTGTCTAAGTATATTATTCAGGTTTGTGTTATTAATATTGTTTATTTATGTCATTATTAGATGCACTGTGGATAGATAATTAAACTGTAGAGTTACATTAGGAAATTATTGAAGAATTTTGGTCCTGCCTGGAATTTCCTCCGCGGAATGAAAATTAATTTCCGTTCAATAATTTAAATGAGGGAAAATTTGACTGCGAACCGAGTACATAAAATCCAGATGCAAGCTTCATGGAAACAGAATTAAACTTGTAATAGAGGTTTCACAGTACAGTAATTAAAAACTTAATCATTTTCATTTTGGCCAATAAAGCACATACATGTAGTAAGTTTTATGACTTCTTACTTCTTTTGCAATTTATTATATTACATAGCTGAAGGAGGGGTGGGGATATTGCAGTTCGGAAGGTCATTTGAATTGTGATGTCTGCGCACTTCTGACAAGACGATTATTGATGGAGTGATGGTGAGTTTCCTTTTTCAAGGTCACCTTACCTTGGTGGGAGACAGCCATTGTGCTAAAAAAAAAAAATGGCTTAATTGTGTGTCCGATGTCCTGCAGTTTTGTACATTGATTTTGCTTGTCATGTGATTGAAAGTATGTTATTACCTTTAAACATTTTTTCATTTTATGTACAGTATAAATTCCATTTTCTTTTGTGTGTGTGTGTGGCATGTTAGATTTTAAGCCAAAACCTTTCCTGTACTATATGCTTTTGAAATACTAGTATACTAACTGTCAATGTATTTTGTTTTACAGTATTAACACACCAGTTAGGAATCTAGGAATGGCCTTTTGTAAGTATATATGATATTAATATTTCGGTACCATTTTAAATAAAAATTCTGACATAATTTAATGCCACATTAAAAATATATCCAGTATTTGAGTGACAACAAAAATAATAATTGGTCTCATTATAAAAACAAAAACATTTTAGTAAATTATTTGCATTTGGTAAAATAATAGTGGGATGTGTCTGAGTACTGCATAGGTTTACATTTCTAGTTACATCGTATGTCAAGTGCCAGAGTGGCACCTTTAGCTGGATTCATTTTATGCCCACTATAGTATAACTTGGTTTATTATTTTAATTATTATTTTATACAGGTACATTATAGTTGTGAATGTGAAATGGAAACCTGTAATTGTTTTACATGATGGTAGGATTGCTAGTGTCTTTTTTTTTTTTTGTCTCATAAATATATTGGATACCAGGTATATCTTGCTACTTCTGCTTACACTACACGTGCATGTACAGACACACATACAGCCTCTCCTCACTTGGCAACGTATTCGTTTACCAACGCCTCGGACTTATAATGGGCTCTCTGACCAGTATTCATACCTAAATAATGTATATTAAAGCTGATTTCCTCTATTCTGTTTATTTCAATATACAATACACTACTGTATAAACATTTAAAAATATACCAGAAATGTTATAAATGGTGCAAAGGTGACACTAAACAATATCAAAGATGGTTGACACAAACTCACTACCATTATAGTATGCTCCTCACTTAGCAACGAATTCATTGAATGACATAGTCTTAGGAACTGGACTCCATCGTTAAGCGAGGAGAGGCCGTATACATACCCATCTGGGCTCTCCTCTGTTAGCTCTTGTTCTTCTTTATTTAATCTCGTCTCCATGAGGAAATGGAACAGAATTCGTCCTCTGTAAGCTATGTGTGTTGTAAGAGGCGACTGAAATGCTGAGAGCAAGGGGCTAGTAACCCCTTCTCCTGTATAAATTACTAAATTTAAAAAGAAAAAACAAAAGCTTTTCATTTTTGGTCACCCTGCCTCGGTGGGATATGGCAGGTGTGTTGAAAAAAGAAAACATTATACACTACAGTGTGTTTTCTCTTGGCTCTATAATTAATAAAATCCACAAATAATGATGCATATATACTGAGAGGAAATAAATTAAAATTTACTATTGTATGTACAATTTCTTAAGCACCAAAAAATTTTTTTGCCGACTTCCAAATTCTTCAATGTAATTACTTAGGGATGTAGTTGATCCAGGATTCATCTTTTACAGATGTTAAGGGAACACTAGTGAATGTGCATATTACAATCACAGGGGACAGTATACAATATTAAAATCATCCAGGGATGGGATGGCAATATTAGGTTGGTCACTGATTCAGTACTTTGTTGGTCAGATGTTGCAGCTGTTGTTGTGAGGTACTCTAGAGGCTTCCAAAATTGATGATTTCAATAAATAAATTAAAATACATGTTTAATTTCTAACAGTCAAGAGAAATGCCTCTCCAAATTTCTGCATTTTTTCAATCATAATGAGCACTAGTGCATGTGTATTAACCAACTATCAATTAAATTTCATGCAATGGAGAGGAAAAATGTATAGAGTTTGATTGGTTGTTCCAGTTTTCAATACTCTGGGACACAATTTTTAAGTATTAAACTTTTTTTAATACCAGCAATCTCTCCACTTGATTTCAGTGACCAAAAAAGAAACATATCTTCTATTATTCAACCACTGTTTTGTTCATCATGCAGATGTAAGAGAGAGTTTTCAGTTGAGTGAATTTTTTTTTTTTTTTATCACATCTGGTGGAAGATGGTTAAAAAAAAAAATGACATCCAAAAGTGAGCTATCAAATGGAAGACTTGAGAATCACTATCCTGTTTTTTTTTTTTTTGTGTGTGGTGCATGTGTATGTATGTGTGTGTAAATGTGTGTGAAATATGTGTTATATTATTGTGTGTGTATTGTATTGTGTGTCTATATGTATTGTTGTCTATATGTATGTGTGTGTGGTATGTGTGTATGTATATGTGTGTGTATATGTATGTGTGTGTGTGATAAGAGAAGATTTCGTTTGGATTTTTAACCCCTGAGGGTTAGCCACCCAGGATAACCCAAGAAAGTCAGTGCATCATCGAATACTGTAACTTACTGTATTTCCATTGGGGTCCTCAAGCTTGTCCCCCAGGATGCGACCCACACCAGTCAACTAACACCTAAGTACCTATTTGCTGCTAGGTGAACAGGACAACAGGTGTAAGGAAACGTGTCAATGTTTCCACCCGCCAGGAATTGAACCCAGGCCCTCCGTGTGTGAAGTGGGAGCTTTAGCCACCAGGCCACTGGTGGCTATGTGTATATGTATATGTGTGTGTATGTTTATGTATGTGTGTGTATATGTGTGTGTGTATGTGTGTGTGTGTATATGTGTGTGTGTATATGTGTGTGTGTATATGTGTGTGTGTATGTGTGTGTGTGTATGTGTGTGTATGTATGTGTGTGTTTTCCATGGCACGAAAGCAAATGCTATACACAGGGCAGCAGATAACATTGCTATTACTATAGTGATGCAGTACTTGGAGTGGCAAAAACCAGTGAGGGTATAGTACATGAGCAGTTATGCTGTATTCTGCTGGTTGCTATGTTTCTCTTCTTAGCTGATATTGCATTAATTTAAATCTTTTTACATACGTCTTCCTTATCAGAATCACCACTATATAGACAAGGTATTAAATTATAATCATTAGTCACCATAAATTGTAATTTTTTTTTTATTACTCTGGCCATCTGCCACCAAAGCAACGTGACCAAAAATAGAGGAAATGTAATCACCTTATCAGAAGTGCACCTACCTCACAGTTCAAAAAGCCCTCCAAACTCTGTACATGTGTACAGTAATTCTATGTAAATATACAACAAGAATTCATGTACAGTGGACCCCTCGGTTATCAGCCGTAATCCGTTGCAGAAGCTCAGCCTATAACTGAAATGGCCAAAAACCAAAATAATATTTCCCTTAAGAATGAATGGAAATACAATTAATCCGTTTCAGACAAAAATATTCACAAAAAAAAAAATAATTTTTTTAACAATTATATAAGTATTTTATACCTTTATTGAAGACTAATGCTGGCTTCTGGAAGATAGGGAGAAGGAAAGAGGGAGGAGTTAGTGTCTGGAAGGGAAATCCCCCTCCATAAAGACTTCAGGTAGCAAAGCCTTTTCTGGGGCTACTTCCCTTCTTTGTCTTTTAATACAACTAGGACCAACTTGAGTCACTGGACCCCAGTCGCACAACAAATCTGTCCATAGAGGTCTGTTTCTGGCGTCTCTAAGATTTTCCTGAAGTGGGACAGGGTTTTGTCACTGAGGATGTTGCAAATATGGCTTGTTTCAGCTTGGTCAGGGAGGTGTTTCTCTACAAAAGTTTGCACCTTAGTCCACATTGCACACACCTCTTTAATCTCTGAAGAAGGCACCTCCTTCACTTCCTCTTCCTCCTCTGGAGCAATTTCCTCAGCTGCAGTCTGTTGCTGTTCGAGTTGAAGGTCTTGCAGCTCTTCAGTGGTTAGCTCTTCCCTGTGGTCCTCCACCAACTCTTCCACATCCTTGCCACTCACCTCTAACCCCAGGGACTTCCCCAGTGCCACAATAGAGTCCACAGGGTCAGCAAGGTCAGGGCCAGCTTCAAACCCTTCAAAATCCCTCTTGGACAGAGCCTGGCCACAATTTTCTCCAAGCAGAGTTCAAAGTTCTGGAAGTCACTTCCTCCCAAGCCTTATCTATAAAGCTTATGCAGTTGAGGATATAGGAGTGATTCCTCTAGAACTCTCTTAGGGTCAGCTGAGTGCTCGAGGTCACTTCAAAGCACTTTTCAAACACTGCTTAGGTGTAGAGTTTTTTGAAGTTAGAAATGACCTGCTGGTCCATGGGCTGGAGGAGAGGAGTGGTGTTAGGAGGGAAGAGCTTCACTTTTATAAAATTGAAGTCCCTAAACATGTGGTCTTCCAAGTCTTGAGGATGTGCAGGAGCATTGTCCAGTACCAGGAGGCACTTGAGTGGCAATTTCTTTCCCGGGAGGTATTTTTTCACACTTGGGCCAAACACATCATTAACCCACTCTTTTAAAATTTGCCTTGTGACCCATGCCTTATGATTAGCTTTCCACATCACACACAATCTATTCTTTACGACATTGCTTTTCTTGAAAACACTGCGATTTTCTGAGTGATCACACCAGTAAAGGCTTCACTTTGAAATCCCCACTAGCATTACCACATAACAAAAGAGTAAGCCTGTCTTTCATAGGCTTGTGTCCTGGCAGTGCCTTTTCCTCCTGTGTGATGTAGGTCCTGTTTGGCATTTTCTTCCAAAACAGGCCTGTTTCATCACAGTTGAACACTTGTTGGGGTTCGAATCCTTCAGCCTTTACATAGTCCTTGAATTCCTGTACATACTTTTCAGCCACACATTTATCAGAACTTGCAGCCTCCCCATGCCTTACAACACTGTGTATGCCACTATGCTTCTTAAATCTCTCAAACCAGCCTTTGCTGGCCCTAAATTCACTACCAGCAGCACTTGTTTCAGGAGTTTTCTGTAGAAGATCCTCATGTAAATGCTTTGCCTTCTCACAAATAATAGATTCAGCGACACTGACTCCCACTAATTGTTTTTCCTTAATCCACAATAACCACAACTTTTCCATCTGGTTCATTATTGGTGACCTTTGTTTCATTAGAAAAGTTACTCCTTTCGCAACATTAGTATCCTTGATTTGTTCTTTCGTTGCCAGGATGGATGTAATTGTATATTTGTTTTCCCTGTCACCCGGCAATTTCAGCACCCGCAACCACTGTATTTACAATCACTTCATTTAAAATTCCAGGTGTTTCTCACTTCCTGTGGTAAAAAAAACTTACTGGGAACTTCTTGGAGCCATGGTTACTTATTTTGCGTTGCCTGCAAAAAAAACCCCACAAAAAAGGAAAACAAGCGAAATTTTTTGGATTTTTGAGCAGAACTTTCCTCATGCCCCGAGAAAGACAGCCAAATGACGCGCAAGGGGCCCCGCTGGGGGACAAACGCGCCCGAAAGGGCCAATCCCAGGATCCAAAAAAAACTGGCAGGTCACCGAGTTGGCTGAAAACGGGAAAACAGCTGATAACTGAGGGTCCCTGTAATACTTTTCAACAAAAAATTTAAAAAATTGACATACCACGGCTGCACCCTGAAACAAAAATTGCATTAAAACCTTTGCCCTGCCTTTGTTTTCCCACCCTGCCCTTTGAGCGCACTCACCACCTGGAGATTTATGTTTTTAACCAAAATCCAGGCCAAACAATTGGGAAAATTTTACTTTAGATTAAAAATTTGATATATTTTTTTTTTAAATTTTTGTCGTATACGCCATCTTAAAATTTCTTTCCCCTCTTCAAGGGGGGCCCCTTGGTGGTGAAGAGGCTCTTGGTTGAGGAATTACCCTGTCGTTCTTTTTTCCCCTCAACCGAACCTAATTACCCCCCATTTCCCCCCCCTCCCTATCCCATCCCCCCCTTTTTCCATTTTTTCTTTTCCCCTTCCTCTCCCTCCCCTTTTTT